GCTATTAGCAGGTAAATATCATAATGGTAGTAATTCAATGTCATATACTTTTTGGAGCAAACTGCTAAAAGTACGCCTACTAAAGTACAAAATGACCTTTTCCTTTGACAACATTTTTGCAATTTGATGTTTAAATGTGAATATTGAATACTCACTGCTGTCAAACATGATTTCACTGATCAAGATCCATTCTCCATCGTACTTGAACTCCACTTTAACTTGATTGCCATAATTCTCACACAAATCAAYGGTGACATTGTAGTTCATCCATTTATAGCCACTGGATGCCTGGTTAGTATSRTGTACTACAAAACCATGAGATGACTGATCTTCTGCACTAAAGCTTACTTTAACAGACTTAAACAACTTAATACCACTTCTATCTCGCACATTGCAATGGAAYGTTAGAGACCGGAACACACGGCGCTTGAAGAATGTGAACACAATGTAAGGCGATGGGGTATGACCAGAATACCAACCAATCCATCCGTACCCTGAAAGGCAGTCATATTGAAAACAAATGTAAGGCAGAATCCAGATTAAAAAAAACCCAGATCTATAGTCCAGTGTAGTATGAAGTTTTGCTSATTTATTCTTAGAATACCTTCATTTTCCAGGAAATCTTTGCTGGCTAGCAGACCATCAGTCAGGAATCCCATACCTGAGTACATTATGGTAGAGTTGACAATCCCATCAAATATCAAGTCGGTTAAGTTATAACGGGAACCGTAAATATCCCCTGGTTTCATAGTATAAGATATCAGATCTGCAAGATATAATAGAAGAATATCAACTAATATCAAAACAAATAGTAGTAGCAAACGATGTTTAAATCATATCTAAAACTATCTCATTGACAGGCTTAAAGAACCATTATCACCCTGAATGCTTTGCAATCATTTGTTTTTGTTAAAAAAACATGTTTGTTTTTGATTTTTCAGTTAAGCCATAAAAGCTTTGAAACTTGAGTTTGCTGTGATAAGTTTTGTTCCTTGACTCAGAAAGTTTAATCAGGCTCTCTTCAGCTGCCTGAAAATATACTTAACTGATAATATTATCGTAGGAATATATTTAAGGTAAAGTACCCTTACTATAAGTCTAAAACGTACACGATAAACGGTGAATTCAGTGAAAACTAGTTTTGTTCAAAAACCTCTTCAGTTCATTAATGAAAGTTTGTTACATTTACGAATAAAAACAAACACTAATGGAGCACGTGCACACTCAGATTCTTAAAAGTGATTATTTAATTGATAATATTATGTTACAGGAAATTATGACACAGCATGCAAACAATCCWGGGGGATCCTAGTCATTCAGAAAATCACATCTTCAAAACTAAAGACAGAATGTTAGATTCTTGAGTGATCAGACATGTGAATGGTCTTAGCTCTAATGACATTTCTCTTGTGGCCTTAAGCCATTTGTCCTGATGATGATTATTACAATACAAGAATGGAATAATACAGATATTAACTCATGTGACCCATTATGTCGTAGAGTATATAATGCTAAATAGCAAGACAGACCTTGTTGTAAATGACATCCATATAACTCCATGCGCAAACACACTTGATTGACTGGGTAAATCTCAGGAATTAGGCGAAAAGTATCAGCTATGAAAGGTGGCTTGAAGTAATTCATTTTTGTAACATTCATCTTGTATTTATTGCCAAAGAATCTCTAAAACAACAACCATTTCAGATAATGTAATTAAAATATAGGACATATAACAAACATTGTATACAATACAAGAGTAGAGTAGAGTAGAGTAGAGTAGAGTAGAGTATCTAGTAGAGTATCTAGTAGAGTAGAGTATCTAGTAGAGTAGAGTAGAGTAGAGTAGAGTAGAGTATCTAGTAGAGTAGAGCATAGTGGAATAGAGAAGAGTGGAGTTACCTTAGGTTGTTGCTGCCCCCATTCATGATACTCTTTCCAGTTTTTTTGCATGACTGAATATTTGACAAAGAAGTTGTCAACTCCTTCCATCCCAAAGTTCTTTGCCCTCCCTTGAGTGCCGACAGCAATAATCCTGACAGGTCTTGAGAATGACACCTGGTAATACTGGTCATAGAAAGGACCCYGGGCCCCTGGAGCATACCAGTCCTTCTGCAAAGGACACCAAGCACCATAACCAGAKTCACTGTACAGTCTGCCTTTTCTTGCAGATRCAAGGTCATTGACAGCCGATGATACAGATAACTGTTTATCACTAATGGAGCCATCTTGCATACCAAGACCAGAATGGCAGCCTAAAAMCCAACAACAAACACTTATCAAAACTTGTACATTACTATAATACTATATAATATAGTACATAAAACTTTGTAACTTAAAACAGAAGAAAGCTACTAAGCAACATATGTTAGCTATTATTAAAAAATCAAACTTCTTTACACCAAAAAACAAACAAACAGAAATATGATGTTTACTTTAAACAGGAGAATTTCAAAGGAAATCAAATGTGGTKTTTGAGTATTCACTATTCCTGGTTAAATAAAGCGAGAAAACAAAGTCAAATTCGACCAAAAGTGAATTTATGCAAATTTATTATCCGCACTTTTTCGCACTATTTTAGAAAAAAATCACACTATTTTTGATTTTTTTCCGCACTCTTCCAGATTCACTGTAAATATCTTTAACAACACACATTCAAATAATTTTCTTGACAAGGCCTTACTTGCCAACAGTTCCTTGATATTCTGAACAATTATCAAATAAGCAATATTAAAATAAGCAATATTAAAATAAGCAATATTTATGTTATTTAATGTTTAATATAATATACCTACACCTACTTGCAGAAACGTTGTCATAGAACATTCGAATTTAGTACAAAGGAATAAATTAAAACAAGACAAAAGAAAATGTTCAGCCTCAGTGATCTTCTTTTGTCTTTTTTAATTTATTCACTTCCTTTCTACTAAAATACAATAAATGTCCTATTTTTTTATGACAATGTTTTCGCAAGTAGGTGTATAAAAAACATTGCATTGTTGTCAACATTGATCGCAGTAGATCACAATACGAAGAATAAGAAACAACTTTTGTA